ATACACTGAACATTCTGCTCATCTGTAGTACCTGCAAGAATGAAATCATACTGTCTTGCCCATTTTCAACAAGGATATTGTATTACAACTGACTAAAATTCTTTTGAATTATAGGCAGAAATAATTCTTCCATCACCTGATCCTTTTCTAATTAAAATTAAATGCAATTTGTGGTGCCTCAAAGATTAAAAATGTTTTATTAAATTTATAGATCATCCATCTCATTCTGCAATGAGTGTTGAGACTATTTTTTTTTAAAAAAAAACCTCATATTAGCAAATAAATTAACTGTTATTCCAGGTTGTGAGAGTGATGTGTGCAAATGTGGATTATAATCAGCAAGACTAGGAATAACTCAAATGGAAGAAATGGAGTACAAGTTGTCCTCAATTTATGACAATTTTGGTCACTAACCATAGCAGTCAATAAGTGACTCATATGTGACCATTCCCGATTATATATCCATTTTATTGCGATTAAGTCACACATTTGTTAAGCAAATCCAGATTTTCCCTTTGACTTGGTCAGAAGCTGGCTGGGAAGAACACAAATCACATCACTTTAAGACATTGTAACCTCCATAAATGCTAGCTAGCTGCCAAGACAATTGAATCAAGTGACCTTGAGGGTGGTTCAATGGTTAAAAGCTTCAAGGATGAGTTGTACGTCATTTTTTCAGTGCTGTTGTAGCTCCAAACTACCATTAAAAAAGTGGTTGTAGGGCAAGAACCAAATGTTTATAGATTTGAGTGCTACATAGTTATATTGATTTTTGTTCATGTCTGTCTGGGGTTTATTTATCTTTATATGAGAACTAGGAATTTTGTTTTATTCCTTTTCTATTAAGCCAAAATCACTTTAAGAATGAATAATTACTTATAATCCTTATCTCTTAGAAAAGAGCAAGGTAGACTAACCAGTTCACACATATTGCACAGTGTCATGCAGGCCTGTTTAACTATTCCTTCTGACAGGAAGAACCAAGAATCAGCAGTGTACAGCATAAATTCTCAAGTGAGAATCAAAGTTTCATGTTGAAACACATAACCTGCCTTAAAATATAAATAAAATGTGCATTTGCGTTTTATTTTTACATGTACAATAAGTCAGAAGAGACTCTTTCTATGAAACTTTTATATTGCCTGGCATTGACTCAACATTTGAAGAGGTTTAGTAGAATAAGACTACTAAAACCGTTCTTGGATAGTCAGGATCTCCAGTAGACCCATGCTTGATTTCTGCATAAATATATTCATTTGGTTTCAATACTCTATGTGAAAATGACAAATGCTACCAGAAAGAAACTTAAAGCTAATTTTAAATACAAAGCTACATACAAGTTAAATTGTTGGATTACTGGCTTACTGAATAAAATAGCTGATTTCAGAAAACCATCTAAGTCAAAACCAACAAACCAAGTGATTATTTGGTACAATGCAAACAGTACCAACCTATTTGTGCTTTCAGTTAAATATTCAATTGAATATTTTGTATGACCAACTTATCTTTACAAGCTATTTCTATTTATTAAGTTCCCATAATCCAGGGATGTCAAACTCAATTTCATTGAGGGCCACATCAGCATTTTGGTTGCCCTCAGGGGGGGGGCTACTGGGTGGGCATGGCTGGAGTGGGTGTGGCCTACTGGGTGGGCATGGCCAGCTCTACATCGTTCGTGTCAAGGGTGTCTGTGGGGGCCTGGACAGGAGTGGGACAAATCTAAGGGTCTCTGGCAGAAGGGGGTGGGACCGGGGCAAGCGCCAAGGCATGGTCCATTTCTTCATTCCTCACAAAGGGTGACAACTCCCCAGCATGCACCCAGGGGGCGGGGACGACGTGGCAGGGGCTGGTTCCTCTAAGACTGAATGCGTTTCAGCATAGATGGCCACCACAAAATTGTACATTGGCTCCTGGCCGACTTGGGCCAGGGCCAAGGCAGCGGGGGCCGTTCCCTCACTGTTTCCAGGATGGCTTCATGGGCCACATGAAACCACTTCGCGGGCCGCATCCGGCCACCGGGCCTTGTGTTTGACATGTCTGCCATAATCCAATGAAATCATGAGAATAACCAAACCAAAGATATGAATCACATTTCAGCTTCTACACTCATATTCAAGCAAAAATAAGGAAATTTTTAAACTCTTCATCCCATATCACATGGTGGTTTTAAAGAACAAGTTGCAGGCAGACTTGTATACATGCCAAACTCCCTTGCCCACTTGTAACTATTACATGAGTAGACCTCAATAAGACTGTTCTCTAGTTTAAGTAATATGCAAAATTTCGTTAGAACTGACTAAATTTTATTTCCTATATTTATCCAATGTGATTTCCATCTGCTTTCTCAACTTTCATAATTAGCAAAATATAATTTTTCAAAACAGCATTATTCTTATTGGAATTAACAAATTAAGTCTCTTAATTTCAAGGTTTCTTTACTGAATTAACAAATTGGTTTGACTCATACAAAATACTAAGCTATATACCACTGTTTAAAAATAGAAAACCTGGCTTTGCATGGCACACTATTAAGCAAGAATCTTAATAAACTATTAAGCTGGAAGTGTTTCTATTTTTATTTTGAATACATCTATTCTTCTGACATAGCTGAGGTTTTTTTTAATCCTAGGACTGCAACTGCTATTTTTTAATGGTCTACTTTGGAGCATGGGGAGAGCAAAATAAACAATGCTAATAAAAGTAGCAAATAACTACAAAAATCTTTTGTTATCTATAATACTACTAAAAATATTCAGAGTAAGAGTAAGAAATTCAGATTAAGAAAAGATTAAGATTAAAAAAAAGTCAAGCAGAGCCTTGGCCTAATATGTAATTGAACTGTAACAGTAACATGTGCATTAATGTTTGTATGATTTCACATCAGCATTAAAGATAAAACTTTTAAGTAACAATGTTCTAGCCAAATTTAGAAACCTTTTTATTAACATGGATTTACCATCTAATCTATATGCCCATGAAATTATTTGGCACACCTATAATTATAAAATAATTCTGACCGTTTTTAAGAATCAGCTTCCTATGGTCTTATTTATAAACCATTTGTTTAATATAAGATCGAATTATGGTTCTGGATACTGAAATATCACCAGTGGTTTCTTCAGAGGATATTAAATAATCCTCCACTTAGGACTACTGTTTTCAGTATCAGGCAATAGGCCAATAGTTGTTTCTATTAGGGTTGCCTTTGCCAAGAGACTTAGCCATTTAGTGATTCCAAATCTTCCTAGTAAGGTGAAGGGAATGGGACCAAGTAAATGTGAAGTTTTCAGAATGCAAAAAGAAACTTACTATATAAAGGTTTTGCTCAGAGCAACTGCATCCATCTTGAAAATATGAGACACAACTGAATACACAACCACAGGATTCTCAAACAAGCTCAAAGGTTTTAAGGGAAATCGACACAGATATAACCGTTTTTCAAGTATGAACCACTAGAACTTGAAAAAAAAATTATGTCACTCTAATGCACGCTCCGAAACTCTAGGGGGCGCTCGAAAGATACCCCGCCCCTCGGCGGGCAAGGCGAGCAGCGGCAGGAGCCCGTCGTCTGCTTGCGAGTGTTGGTATTGCAGGAGCGATGTCTGCAGCAACAGAGCCCACCCCGCGGGGGTGGAGTCGCCTCCCGGCCATTACCGGGGCTTTGCTCTAGGGCAGCAGCTGCTGCTGCACCCAACCATCTCTCCCCCCCCCCACATACCCTGAGAGGCACCTCCTCTTAATCCCCACCCCCAATCCTCGTGCCAAAAATGGGTGCTCTACCTCCGCCTCCCAAGGCAGGTCGAACCGAGGCAGGAAAACATATATAAATAGCACTCACAATGGGAGCTCCTGCTCCTTGCTGGGCTCTGCCAAGGCTGCGCCAAACTGGCCCGCAGCCTAGGGAGAAGAGGTGCTCGCCAAGGGGAAAGGGAAGGGGGGGAGATCTACAAGGGCAGCGGGTACGCTTTCCCATCTTCCCCTCCAGGAGACGCCCTTCCCGATGGGCAAGAAACGGGAGTTGCCACCGCTGCTTTCGAGTTGGTACCCAGCACCCCTCTAGATGCCCTTCCCCAAAGGGATACTGGAGCCTCTTGGCCCACGGACGGCGCCTCGCTGATACCCCCCTTCTCACACCAGGGTCGGGTCTTTCCTCTTCGGACGCGACTCCCCCAACGGGCAACAAACAGGAGTTTCTGCTGTTAGCCTGAGATTGTGGCGCTGAAGAACTGCCCCGACCCAGACCTCCAACCTGCCCTCCCATAGTTCAAAACTCTCGGGACTGAATCTAAACTCGGCTTCCATCCCCTTCCCGCCCGCGACTCTAGCGCCGAAATCTACCCCGACCTCGCTTTCTGCCAATTGCCCCGGGAGTTGCGCTTGGCCCCCTGCAGTCTGCTAGCAGCACTGCCGCCTCCAGTCGGCCGCCATTAAAGAGACCCAGCCAAACAATACGGGAGGGGAGAAAGAGGATCCGCGGAGCGCAACGCGGAGCGCAATTACGGACCCCCGCGAGGGAAGAGGGAACCGGGGGGGGGGAAGCGCGAGGAGAAGGGGACAACCACCCCCCAGGAGGCAGTTGGAAATAAAGCCGGGCGGAGAGACATCGCGCCCCCCCACTGCACACGCACGCACCCAGATACCCCACGGCAGCCCTCTCCGCATGTCTGCCCGAGCGCCTGTCTCGCGTCGTAACCGGGCTGCCGCCCTCCCGATTCTTACCCGCCGCTGACCCTTTTCTCGCCTTCCTAATCTACTGGCGGGAAGGGGGAACGGACAGCAGCCGCCACCAGAACAACACGCAGCGGGGTATTTAGCCCGGGTTATTCCCGAGACACGGCTGGTCTGCTCCTGTCCCCACCCTGAAAGGGGTAGCTGGGCTTCAAGCCAGTTCGTCTAACCCGGCTCCACTGTTTCTACCTCAGTCTGTTCCTCTGATCCCCTCGCCGAGCTGGGCAAAAGTCGCTCTCCCCCCCCCCCGCCCGCCTGCGGGTAAAACGCACCCTCCGCGGCTCCGCCAACGCTTCCTCAACTCTATCTCGGTCCAGTCCCGGGCTAAACGCTGCTGCTGGCGAAGGGGAGGAGGAGGGACAAAACCTAACCATCCGAGCCCGGGGAAAGGCCGCCTAGTGTTCCCGCCCATTGGCTTTCCCAGAGGGAGGGCTTTGGTGTCAGGCAAAACCATTGGAGAAACTGCCCGTCTATCGGCGATCTCCGTCGCCGGTTGCGTGAAGGTTCTGTCAATTAGCTTCCCGCACACGCCTTCCGTCCCTCCTCCTTTGGTTCCACCAGGTTAAAGAAAACCCGAATTGCATTGCCCACCACCAACAGCTGCAGCACCTCTGCTTCTTTCAACTTGAAGGTTTGCAAGCCCAGTGGTCAGCGTCGCTGCTGAGTAGTTATAATGCAGAAGTTTGGGCTTACCTCTCTTCCCCCTCCCCAAGAAAAGGGCGATGGCTTCCCTAAGTCCCCATGTCATTTATCAGCCAGGAAGGTGTTTAGCCCATTAATTTGTTTGCCACAAGGCAATTCTCTTGCCACAAGGACAAGGGGTAAAAGGGCTGAACACCAAGCTCTAAAATGAGGCGGTAAGGACGGGTACAGCAATAAAGCCAAAGGGTTTTAGACGCTCTCCCCCCCCCTTTGGGCTGTGGACCTGGAACCCTTTCTAAGAGGGGGCAGAATAATAGAAACCAAGTCCCAAACCTAAGAAGGGGGCAGCCTATGAGTCTTCTCCGAGGACAAGGATCTCTGTCTTCAGGAGGACTCTTTCGTGTTCCCAACTATTCCGAATCAAGAAAAGGCATCTCAGAAGCAGCCCAGCACGGCTCCTGGTGGTGATGGTGGTAATGGTTGGTAATAGTGGTGTCCTCCATTTTGTCGGAAGCTGCTGCTGCTCCTGGGACCCTTTCAAGCCACTATGGGGCTTTGTGAGGCGCTTGTTCTCACTGCCTTTCGCCTCAGGATCAGGGCAAAGCGCAAATGGCGCCTTTGGCGGTGCCCTACGAGTGCTGAATAGAACTGGGCATTGCCAGGGCGGCAAAGGACAGAAAACCAAGCTCTCCACCCTTCCTCAGCCAAAATGGAGGATGCGCACTTCCCTTGCGTGGTTGATTCCCCCTTTCTTAGTCCTGGGATTAACGCCCGCTCCTCAACGACGGAGGCGTCCTCAGACTTTGGTGTGGTTGGTCAAATCCCCGTCGTCTCCCATTTACTTATACCTACCCTAACAAAACGGGAGGAAAGGCGGGAAAAAGCACCACCGCCTTTCCTTTCTCGCTCCACCTTGCAGCAATTCCGTACACAAAGTATTTATTCCCTGGAGAAAGGCGTGAGGAAAGAAGCTGGGTTAAAGCTACTGGACCCTGCTCCGCCTCGCCTGTACAAGCTTTCGCTCTGCAAGCTCCCTCGGTTACTTATGTGGCAATAGAGGGAGCAGTTTGAATAGTTTTTAATTCGCTCTTTTGCTCTACGCCGTGAATGGTCGCTAATTTTCAGGCGCCGCAAACGCGACCGTTCTTCACGCAGAGCGGCCGCTCCACCATACTGCACTGTCAACCTCGCCAACAAGAGCCAAAAAGTCTGGCCACATAGGAGCTGTCGAATTAGCAAATTTGGAAAATGGGTAAAAGAATGTCTAGAACTCAGATTGTTCACTCAGGTGAAAACTTGAATTTTCACTTGGTAACAATAGGATTAGACAAAACGTATTTCTTCCCTATTTGAAATATCTTAGTCCAACTTAAAATGGATAGTACAAGTAGTCCTCGACAACAGTTTGCTTAAGGATCGTTCAGAGCACTGAAAAATGTGACTTATGACCATTTTTCACATAGGACCATTGCGGCATTCCCAAGGTCACGATCAAAATTCTAGTGCTTGGCAACCGACTCACATTTATGACACTTGCATTGTCTCGGGGTCATATGAACACTTTTTGTGATCTGTTAATGGGAAAGCCAGATTCACTTATCGTGTTACTAAACAACTGCAATGATTCACTTAACAACTTGCAAAAATGGTCGTAAAATGGGGCAAAACTCACTTAACAACTCAGCCTAAAATTTATGTTGCTGAGAAATTTAGAAATTTGTTGTAACTTGAGGACTATGTACTAAAAAGTGTAGTTTATTTCATGATATATTTTGACTTTTAAAATAAAGTAATCTAATTTAAACAGTCACAAGATACTAGGACCATTTTGGACTTATTGTTTGATTTTTTAAAATCTAAATATTTGACATGCTTATTCGTTAGCTATAGTTTGGTTAAATAATTACTGGTACTGACACAAGTGTGGCCTTTGGCTGTAATAAATTGATTGATTGGATTGATTGATACTGACACACCAGCTGAGACGCTAAACCATAAGCTAACCATAGTGTCCTGATTAAATCAAAGCTACATTTTAGTTTATTCTGTTAATTTAATCTACGATCTGGCATTTTACTTGTTCTCTCTGCATAAAAACACTCCGAAATAACTTCAAAATACTAACATTTTGTTTCAGAATTAATCTGATTTCATTCTGGACATTTAATTTCATCTTTTATTTGGTGAAATGCCAATTATTCAGAGTTGTGGGAATTTTCAGAGCAGCAATGATTTCTATTGTTACCCCTTGCCTCTAAGTGGGTACTTTTTTAAAAAATAATTCTTCCAATAATGGGATACAAATTACATCAAAAGAGTAGATGTATTCAAAATGGAAATGCAAAGAAACACTTTCCATACTTAGGCAATATGTAGTTTACATTTTTGTAGCTTACAGTGTTATATGAACCCAATTATTTGTTTTTAAGCCATAGTGAAGGATCTAAACCAGCTGTATCCAACCCATGGCCTTGGATAGCTAGTAATGTGGGTAATAATAAGATAATAAAATATATATAATATATATAATAAAAGAACTTTGTTATTTTTATACATTAATTATATTACATATTTTATATGCAGCCCAATACAATTCCTCTTCACTCAATATGGCTCCAGGCAAGCCAAAAGGATGGATGACCACGATCTAAACCAGGAACTTGTATGAGTTCAAACAATAACAGTTTACTTAGTTATTGTGGGTAAGGAAATCTTAGAACTACCAGACTTGGCTTGTGAATTCCAATACTGTAATGTCATTTTGAAAAGAAATTTTGCATAAAAACATAAACTAATCCATGAAAGATTATACAATAATAAATATCTTACTCTTTAAATTGTCTTAAGATAATGCATGTATGATATTGAAAAACAAACTGGTCATCCACATTTTGGCCTAGCATGTTGCATAACCTCCATGTATGACTAGTTTATGGTTCATTGTATTTTCTTCAAACCAACAAAATAGTGTAATTTAAATAAAATGCTTAAAATATCTAGGGCAAATTATGCATTGTGTGAACATAGCTTTCTTGTTTTCTCTGTAACTAACATGGTTTCTCTGGAAAGTAAATCCCAAAAGTACTGGCATACATAAACAGGAGTTAGCCTTAAAAGAGTCCTAATACTTTTGCTTTTAATTAATATGTTCCTTAAAAACAGTTATTGGTCTGGTTTATATTGTTATACAAAACTAAGTCATGAGTTATTTTGATTTGCCAAATTATGTAAATTATGTTATCGGCTGTTACAGATTGTAAATTATGGTTTGTAACTTTGTGTGCTGAGCAAATTCAGTAAATTGTTGGATTAGCATATTAAGTGAACCAGGCCACTCATTCTTATCTATGTTCCTCATAATACAGGATATGTTAAATAAGACGATGTTATAAATTGCTAATGTATTTGGATTATTAAAAATGCACAGGTATATTACGGCATCATAAAAATTATGCATAAATTAAAACAATGCTTTAAATCTTAGGTGGACACTAGACCTGTTGGCATCCTTCAGTCTCGAGAGACTATGGTATCGTGCTCTGAAAAGAGGTCCTAAGGCAGCACCTGGTGTGGCTAAAAAGGCCAATTCGAGAATGGCAGTCCCTTCCACACTGAGGGCAGATACAATCTGTCCCCTGTCCAGCCCCCAGATTTCACTGGTTCTGGGACTGCCTCTTTGCCTCAGCCTGCCACACAAGTGTCTCTTCGAATTGGAGAAGGCCATGCTGCGTCTTTAGCCTCCAGGCTGAACAATCAGAGGTCAAGGATTCCCAGCTGTTAATGTCCATTCCCAAGGCCTTTAGGTCCCTCTTGCAGATATCCTTATATCGCAGCTCAGGTCTCCCTCTGGGGTGCTTTCCCTGCACTAGTTCTCCATACAGGAGATCTTTCGGAATCCGACCATCAGCCATTCCCATGACATGCCCAAGCCAGCGTAGACGTCGCTGTTTCAATAGTGTATACATGCTAGAGATTCCAGCATATTCCAGGACTGCGCTATTTGGGACTTTGTCATGCCAGGTGATGCCGAGAATACGTCAGAGACAGCGCATATGAAAGGTGTTCAGCTTTCTCTCCTGCTGTACATGAAGGGTCCAAGACACTGCAGTACAAGAGTGTGCTCAAGACGCAGGCTCTATCTAGATTGCTCAAACATTATATACTGTGATTTAGATTACACAGTAGCAAAAACATTAAATAGGTTTAGTGTCAACATTTGTGGCAGAAGAGTTTGAATTTTTCCTTTGATTTTGTCATGAAGCCTAAAGGACTAAAGTGCATAAACATAACTGTCTATAGTTTTTTCCTCTAATGGAAGCAATTATTTATGTGTGATTTACTTTGACTAACAAGATGGTAGTTTAAAATATTATGGCTGTTGAATGGTATTAAATTTATTCTAATTTCTCACAAAGGTGCAAGTATTGGTAAATGCTGACTTAGTGAATCCAGAGCAGTTGTAAAAGAAGCTAGAAGTTGGAAGTCTGAAGACCACAGGATCTCAGTTCATATACAACAAAGCAAGAATAGAGCACCTTAATAATTTTATTCTGTTCAATGACCTACTTAAGCAATTGATATTTTAATGAGTAATCTACCAGAAATTAAATAATATAGAATTTTACTGTGATTACTTTTAAGTGCTTAGGACATGTGCACTTTTTCCAGAATTATTTTTGAGTAC